CTATATCCACAAACAATACTGTATACAATTTGTTTTTTATTTCGCGTTCCATTCTCCATTGCATTGGAACTCAATGTTTTGGAGACATTGATGTATTCCGTGAATATTCAAAACAGAAATATTGACTGATAGCTCAGTTGTAACCTTAAAGATTTATAATGCTGAAATTCTAGATTCGATCACTGTGGTGGGCACTGCACAGATAGCCCATTTCCCATTTTTGCGCTTAAGTAACAACCATCATGATTTATTAAAATCCAAAATAACTCTTCCCACTTTGAAGATATTTCATTAAATCCAAATATATATATATAGTTTAAAAAATTGACTTCTTTTTTTTTTATCTTCTTCTCATGATAGAAACGTAGTAGTCGATGCTATTGCTCGTAAAATAGGTGTTAACAAAACAATAACACTACGTAAGAACATTAATATCAGTTAACAAGGATTGCCGATAACACTACGTAAGAACACTAATATCAGTTAACAAGGATTACCGATAACACTACGTAAGAGCACTAATATCAGTTAACAAGGATTACCGATAACACTGCGCAAGAGCACTAATATCAATTAACAAGGATTGCCGTTGAGCATCTTGGAAAGAAACAAAAGCAGTATATATAATAAGATTACAACCTAATTAAAAACATCCGTTTAAAAGATACGTACAGATAATATAAACTTTGTTTAGAAACATATAATTTTAGGGCAATCTGTGTTAGTAAGAAGTCGACACTAATCTCGTATTGAAATATAAAAGTATTTATACACCGCCTCCCTGTTTCTTTAAATGTTACTGCTGTTAATTAGAATTTTGAAGTGACGGCTTAGAGAAAGAAACAGTTCGTTAACAGCGCCCACCGAAAACTCTAGTGTAATTTGACCGTAAAACTCATATAGCCCATCCATCCACGGCCTCAAAGGGCGGAGCGCGTTTTTGCGGCAACTTACAGTCCAGGTACGCTAGTGTTTCTTTGAAATACAGTTTGATAGTTTTACGTAAATCTGTTCCTTCACTTCTGCTTTCTCTTTACTCATTAACTTTGTACTTGTTCCTAATTTTTTACGCAACTCTTTATTATGATATAGAACTCCTTATGTTAGTTTGAATAAAATAAATTTTATATGGTAAAAACAATAGCGTTGATTCAGCTAGTGTAGTAAGTGAAAACGTATTCCGGCTCGCAATAATGTCAACAGTTCAAGCACTTGTACATTTTACCTATTACGAGGTCATATAACAATCAGATCTAAACATACGTCCAGAAGTTAACAATAGATTACAGTTAGGTTTTCGTAAAATGACCCACACGTTCAGAAGTTAACAATAGATTACAGTTAGGTTTTCGTAAAATGACCCACACGTTCAGAAGTTAACAATAGATTACAGTTAGGTTTTCGTAAAATGACCCATACGTTCAGAAGTTAACAATAGATTACAGTTAGGTTTTCGTAAAATGACCCACACGTTCAGAAGTTAACAATAGATTACAGCTAGGTTTTCGTAAAATGACCCACGTACTCACCCCATCCCACGAAGTAGTAAAGTTTAAAGGGAGCATCTTGTTGAAAGACACAGATAGCTGTCCGACTGTGGAGAAGAAGACCCTCGTTAAACATCCAGTTGATGCAGGCTAGAGCAGCGTACATTTTCAGTGTCAACACGGAACGACACAGCCAGGTCTGTAGAGGGTAAAGGGTATAGTTGTAATGAGAAAAGAATATCTGCGTATGAACAAGATCTGCACAGCTTTTGCGACACATCAAATCACACAATGTCGAGATTTGTAAATTGACACCCGTCTGCTTACAAACACACTGTATACAGTTTTAGAGAAAGAATAGCATATACGTTATTATCTGTATTCAAACTACATATATTCAGGTTTATGAAAAAACAAGTTGTTGAAACAGGATCCTTACAGTTTGAATTACGTAACAATCTTATAGATTTACACCTGTTTATAAAAGCAGAGCTTTAATAAAAAAATAAAAACACTTGCATATGTGGATTTGCCCGAGAAAAATATTAACATAGTTTTACTGAAAAAATAAGCCTACTAACAGATAGTAGATGCGAGATTTATAATAAACCTTTTTAATGGCCCTTTCACTTTTTTTCCTTTTTTTTTCTCAATTAATGCCCCCCAGTGGCACAGCGGTATGTCTGCAAATTTAGCATAACATAACATAATGTTTGGGAACAATTATAGAACTTATTGGTCCATCTCGGCTGTTCCATCCTCTAAACTAAATCAAAATAATTTTAGGAACCTTAAAGCCAGCTTTATCATTCATATACTTATCAAGCATTTTCTTAAACTCACTTAAATTTACTGCCTCTAAAATATCCGAAGGCAACCCTTTCCAAAGGCCAACCATCTTATTAGAAAAATGAAACTGTCTTCGGTGAAGATGACTCCTACCTTGCCAAAGTTTCTACTTGTATCCCCTTGTCCTACTATTCTCACTGTTAAATATGAAAAAAGATGATGCATCAACATTGTCAATTCCCTTTACAATCTTAAACACCTCAGTCAGATACCCCTAACTTAAAGCTGTTAAGGTTATTCCCATCCAAAGTATATTTATAATTCAAATTACGATAACCCACATGAATTATTTTGCATTTAGTATAATTAAAACCCATCTGCCGTTTATTTGCCCAACTCACTAAATGATCTAAATCCTTTTATAAATCGACGGCATCCTCTTCACCGCTAGCAACAACTAAGACCTTAATATCATCTGTAAATTTAAGCAATTTATTGACTATTCCTTCATTTATGTCATTGATGTAAATCATAAAAGCAAAGATCCTAATATTGAGCCCTAATTGTGACATTAATCCAGTTTGACTGAACTCCATTTGTAACAACC